ATGGCCCCCTAATCACAAATTAGGCCCGAAAGCTTTGACCCATCTAAAAATTACATGAGAAATTTTTTCAAACGATTTTGAAAGGAATTGAACTCACAACCTCTCACTCGTGGGAGCAGGGACGGATCTATGTGTTGGCTTGACCGGGCTCAAGCCCGGTGTAAATTTTTAAAAATTTAGTAGTAGTATTATACACTATATAGTCCACAGAGAAGTTCATTACACATAACACATATACTAAATACTAAAAGTCCATACACACTACACACAGTCCAATAGCCCATAATACATTACAGTAGACCAGTAGTACACATCCACGATCCACTTAAAAACGAGAAATTGAGAACAAATCAATACTACTACATTACTGCCTGTCTGTTGTCTCCTTCACCTTCAATAAATCAATTCTTGGTGGTCCTCCCCTTTGTCTCTATGTGCATTTGATTATTCTATTCAATTTGTATTCAAAGCTTCAAAGGTAACAACTTTATACAATTATACTTTTTGACTTTTGTTTTGTTTTACGAATTACAATGAAGTATAAATCTTAGTTTTCCAAATCCCTAATCTCCCTAATCAAATTTCAATTAAAAAATTATGGGTGAATATCGAAATTTGATTTATTTTTCAAATAAAAAATTATTTTAGTTCTAAAAGCTAAGTAGAATGCAAAATATTTATGAACTATGAAATTGATTAGCCTAATTTAAGTTTTATGCTTGAAATTTTAATTTATTAATACACTTCTGAATTTGGTATATAGTAACTGCCTGACTTATATACTTATATATATAGTTCCATTAATTGTAATTAAAATACTATTATTAATTATCCTTTAGCATCAGTATTGAATTTGATACTAAGCTATTGGATTATTACTAGTATTGCTATAATGGCATGAAGTTGTGCCTCGCCGAGTTCACTTTCACTAGTAAGTTGTTATTTTGTATTATCTTATGTAAACATCTATGTCTCATTTATATTTATTAGTTATGACTAAATTTACTACTTGTTGTTTTTCCACAACGCTAAAAATGCGAAGCTTTTTTAATAGAATAGTTTGTTATCCTATTTGTTTATGTACTATATGTACGTACAATTTTTTTTTTTTTTTAGCTTAGTTTCGATCAAGCCCACCCCAAAATAAAATCTTGGATCCGTCCCTGCTTAGCTGTTGGATGATAAAGCATCTTTGCCTACCACAAACCTGTTGAAATCTATACTCTTATGTTATATTGTCTTATCCTCCAATCATAAAAGACAAAAAACAACTGTCATAAGAGAGAGAGAAAAGCAACCACTCCACCATTTTTTCTATTCTTCATATTATTTTTTGTTCTTCACCATCTTCTTTGTTCTTCATCATCTTACATACAAGATGAAACTTTAATCTTTTAACCCTTTTTGTCTCAAAGTTTTTTTTTTTCCTTCTTCTTCGTCATTCTTTCACCGTAGGGAAAAAAAAAATTTGGGCAAGCTTTGTGTAAGTACCAAACTGTGAACCACCAGGTAAAGTCTGGGGTTACAATTCATAGTTGTTTATGATAATCAAGAGTAAAGGAAAGAATTCAGGATGTATACGTGGAAAGATATAGGTCACGGTTTAGATTAACTAAGTAACATACAAGTGTATGAGAATAAAAGAATGTCAAATGGATTATATGAGGACCACTTAGTGTGTTATAACAAACTTAACAGGTGGCATAACCAGTGACCATTGAATCAAGGAAGATAGATCCAACGGTCACGGTAAGATAGTTAGAATTTACTATAAATAGAAGGTAATAAGTTCAGAAACAGGTATTCATCTATCTCTAATAGCTTTGCTCTATTTTTATTCTCTTCCAAGAACTGACTTAGGCATTGGAGAATCTCCCCATTGGAGAAATCCAATGGGTTTATTGCAGGTTGTAGAAGATTGAAGGAAGATGGAGAATTGAAGATGAAAATGCAACAAACTTCATGAGAATCTTATGTAAACGGAATATGGTTTTACACTTTGAACCAACTTACAATTCCTGGTATATTTTAGGGTGTTAAGCTTCCTTTCAGTCATCACTAATTAATAATTATAATGGTGTTAACCTTAATTTTCTAACCCATCATGATTATAATGGTGTTGAGGTTGCATATGTGCTTGTTAAGTAAAAAATAAAGCTGAAGTTGTTCTTGTACATAGTAGGAGATGTTTAAGCTTACAATCACAACTTACAGTTGATTACAGTTGATGGTCTTTACAACTTACAGTTGATGTTCACGCTGAAGGTCTTGTAAATAATTTTTGGGAGATATCTAACACAATCTGTATTTGAACTACCAGATTCTAGTCTAC